CAGATATTCATCAGGACAGCCATCGATTTTAATGACTTGGTCAATAGACACACAGAGAATCTGCTCTCAGCATCTCCCTCTCTCTGACGTTCACACTCTCTCCTCTACTCTCGCCTCCTCCTGTGTCCTGTTCTTTTGTTTTCTTTCTTTTTTTTGTGCGTCTCTTACAACAACACCAGTCCTCCCACATTTCACAAAACAGTTGCTGACAGTCGTCACAGCTGTGGATGGAGCTACAGATGTGGAAAGATTATTTAATACCTCATCCACACTAAAAGAAGCAGGTGTACGCAGGTTTTTCAAACCCTCTAAGAAAATGTGATTGACTCCTTTCCCATTGCCATTAGAGGACTTTGTCTTTCAGTTTTTTTCCCCCCCGTGGTGTATCATGTTTGACGTCACAAATGCACTGGAAACTGAGTGGCTCTCTCATCTCGCGCCTTGACAAATTAGCAAATTCAGCCGGGTGTCACGTTTCCATCAGTGCCAATCAGAGCTGATGAAAAACCTGTGTCTACCCAGGAGTGAATGTCGATTGAATCCAATCCCATTGCAGACTAGAGCCAGATGTTAATGGGTGTTAGTGGATTTTTTGACCAGTGGAAAAGGGGCTTAAGTGTGTGTTAGCTTGGTGAAATCCTGTTATTATGATAAAAACCGAGGTTGAGGGAAATAAAGAGAAAATGTACGAGGAGTAGGTGGTGTGAGGGAAATTAACAAGACGGCAAGATGGCGAGTACTTTGATGTTTGCACTGTGACAGGCAGGTATTAGGAAAAAGCCCTGCTGTGGATGGAGAAAACAGGTAGGCAGATCACAGCTCAGTGACTGACATATCTCAGTAGGTGATGAGGTTAAAGCTGCCTTCAAGCTGCACTGTGTGAATCCTCACACATGGTCACACAAACATATGGCATGTGCGCAGACGTACACAAACACAACATACACAGTAAACACAAGCACAGACAAATACGACAAATACACACACACACAGAGCCACGCAGACTGAGGAGCACACAGTTGTTGATGTGCCCACTGATGCAGAGCGAAGACAAATTGCTCCCTTTGAAGGGAAAGCCAAATCAAACACGGAGTGTGATTTCTGTCACTGTGGTGCTTGGCTCTGAGGCTGTGAAGCTGACATCTGACCAAACATCCATGCAGTCACACCCAAGAAGTTGTGCGCGAGTGTGCGTGCACAAACGCGTGTACATGCGCAGCTGGATTATGGGAGGAAGAGCTCTGTCAGCTTCTCTAAGATCCAGGCCTTTACCATCAAAAAAAAAAAAGAGCCACAAAACCTCAACAGCACAGCAGTGCTTACGAGCGCTGTGTCTGCTGGCTCAAACTTTTGTTCATTCAGCAACACAATCATCCAAGTAGCGGCTTTGGTGTTTAAACTGTTCATCAAATAGTTGGTGCTGAAAACCCCCAGACGTGAGACGCTTGACCAAGATTTGACCATCACAAGAAAGTACTACAGTGCAGTCTCATGGCGTGCAAACAACCACGGGCCTAACGGACACACACTCATGTTGACGAATGCCTGGCCACAGCATTTGTTAGAGCTACTGCAGGATAATAATTCATCAGCTATTCAAGCAAAGTGTCCCCCATTTATTTTTAACCCCAGAAGCTCTTTGGTGCCCAGTTCAGAGTCCTGCCTCTGGTCAGGTACCCGCAGGTAAAGTTGTGTAACGGGTAAAAAAGACATTTATATAAATTCACAGGTACAGCCACAGTTAAAAGGAAACACGTTGATTGAGCAGCTGCAGAAAAAATTCAGATTCTTTTTCAAGAACTCAACTCAACCACCAAAACGAGAGGACAAGGAGGTCATAACCCATTTTATGTGAGTGACATATGTGAGGGCGTCGGGTTGGTTAGGTTGTATGTTACCGGGTTGGGGCGGGTCCAGATTTGACTAATGACGGGAAACGGATCTAGTCCGGGATGGATCTTGGTATGTGTGGACACTTGCAGGTTTTTGCCAATGCAGGATTGTTTATTTTGTGAAGTTTGCTGCACTGGACAATATGATCAATTTTATTACAATTTACTGAAATAAATTCTTAAGAAAAATAAAGTCAGTTTGTTACCAGTGTGTGTGTGTGTGTATCCTCTGACTTCATTTGCTGCCTATAATTTTATACCTGATGTGAGCAAAATCCGCAATCACTGCCCTGGGATCAGATTCACCGACCTCACCTCACTCATTAGAGGACTGCAGAAACACTGACCTCTAACCTGCAGACACTGCAGATGTCTTTTCCCTTTTCTTCTCCCGTTACTTCTGTTTTGGTCTCTTCTTTTTGAAAAGTCTGTGCAGAAAAACGTCGGCAGCAGGTACAAGATAATTGTAACAGAAGTGAGCCAGAATGCAGGTCGCGGGGGCTTCTGCCCTCCATATTTTACCACTATGTCAGTGCAGCAGAACAGTAGGCGCCCATTGCCACAGAGATATGCAGCGTTAATTGATTTGAAACAGAATGCATAAGACCTGTGGGAGTTTGGGATTTGTGACTTCTTGGAGTGGGCGATAAGGCAGAAGGAAAGGAAGGAAAGAGACAGGAAGCAGCAGACAGAGATAATCAGAAAGATAAGAACGCAGAGACAGAACAACAGCAGTGAGCGGAGACTAAGGGGAAGGTCATGCAGGGTGACATTGTTGTTATTACAGCGGCACAGTTAAGTATTCCTGTAAGCAGGCAGGTCTGCCCGAAAGACGTCATGGCTGCGAATTTGCTAGCGCTCAACATTTTACCTGTTTCTACTGTCCTTGTGATATTACCCCAATGGCATGTTCACTAATGTCGATGCACTGGTAAACAGCGATGAAAAAAATGGTGGACGAGATGTGAGATTCAAGTGCCTCTATTTGCAGTTTGACCTTCATAGAAGGCTGCACCAGGTTTCAAGTATGTATGATGTCGAGAAATTGACGCAGGGATGTTTTCCCTCCTGCATTTGAAATACAACAGCTTACAAAAAGTAACCATACAAACCGAATGTAATAGATTTATCACTATATGAATCACTGCAATGCCACTGCAGTTTAACAATCCTGCATCGTTTCCTTTCCTTTCAAATGGGTCTTTATAAATACTATAATTAAAATGAAGCTCCAGATTCTTTTGCTTGTAAGTGGAAGGTCAACAATTTCTGACATGAACATGGTTAATGTACCACGACAGTGTGTTCTAGCTCTCACTCGACAGAGACCGGACCGAGCCGACAAGCTCAACTAATTATCTGTTTCCAATTCTACCTGATTTCAATATATCTCAGGCAGCCCACCCAAAATAATTGCTTTTTTGCAATCTACAAGTTCATTTGCACACATTTTATTGATCAAAATGAGTCAGGAAAAAGAAAACAATCTAAACCTAAATTAAAAGCTTCATTAAATGCGAAAATTGGTTGGGGGATTGCGAGCATCTGTTTCCCGCGCCCTGCGTCATAAACTCCAAGGTTAAACCAAACACCAATTTACGGCTCACAGACTCGCAGGCATGAAGCTGGAGCGGCGGAGCACCTTCACAAACACGGTGCGAGTCAACAAGGCTTCAAACGATTTCGAGAGAGATGTGAGGGCAGGGACTGAAAGCTCTTCCTGCCTTGTGTTTAGTGTAGGCCTTGTGAGCCTCCCAACTATGAGTGGTGAAAAGATAAACCTGACACACTTTCAAGCAATTTCCGAGCAGCAGCAATATAAGATGCTGCCTTTGTGTAACCAGAACGACATGTACTTCTTCTCAAAGAATCCACTATAGGAAATACTGCAGGCTCACTTTTTGAAACTAAAATTTAAAGACTCTTTTCAAACCCAAACAAAGAAAATGTAATACTCTTTCCAGATCTAGTAAATTCATGTTAAAGGTTGATGTTTAAAGCAATCATCCATTGCAATATTATAGTAGATATACATCTATACATTTTTTCACACCTTGTGGTACATACTGCTGACAGCTGCAACATAGACTTATTTCACTTTTCCATGTATATATCTATCACACTTTCCCACTGGGTATTTAGAAAAGACACAAAAGATCATTACTTCTTTGCGTGTTATTAGATGAAGCACATTATGTTTGTCTACACTTTCGGTTGTTTGTTAGTGACTTAGATGAAGATCAGATTGCATCTCATGGTGAATTAAAGCAGAAAACCAGGTCATTATAAAGGCTTCACATATTTCTTTCTTGCCTCTGCATCTGCTCCTAAAATTACCAGTGAAACTTTGCTCACAATACAAATCCTGAAATAAGGTTACAATTAAAAAACACACACACACACACACACACGCAGCAATCAACTCAATGTTTGCAAAACTTTATCTAGCGCCAGTCATATCAAAAGGTGGATAATCACAATCCCATTTTAAAATGCAGATCACAGCCCCACACCCTACTACAGTCACAATCAACTAGGTATTGAATGTTACAGAGATGGTCATTGGTGTGGAATATAAAATACCCAGAGCAAATGTAATGCCTCCCCCTTACCTTTCCAAATATTTTAAGACCTTGAATATCAAAAAGTAAATTTAAGACGTGTTAGGATCCACAGGGTCCTTGCACATGTCTCTGTGCCACAGTAGGTGAAATTCCCTACTCTGTGACCTTGGAGGAGCTATGAATTAGCTCTGGTTGCAAGTTGTATTTTAACAACCCCTTGCTCTGAGTGTTTGTGGCCTTGTTTATGACTGTTGGCATCAAAGCTGCTCTGGTATACAGGCAGGGGGCAGAGGCCTATGTATTTCATTCCAGCAAGGCCTTACATAAGGGCAGGTCATGAGGAATAGAGAGCTAAGACTACATTGATTTAATACCTGACACCTACTTGGATTCCCTTCTGAGCTCAGATTGCAAAGCAGATCTGCTTTGATTTAGCCTGTGAAAGTTTGGCATGACAGGTTCCATATCTGGAGGAGAGCAATTCTAAAAAACATCATGAAAGCCTCCTGTGCCAAGAGCGTTAGCTCAGGCTGGCTGTGCTTACCTTTCGGATGTCCCGGGTCACTGAACTCGTACTTCCCCATCCCGACTGTCCGCAGCATTTGCAGCCCATTAGGACCGTCCTGATTGTCTGCAGCTGTGTTTTGGACCTGCGCTGCTGCTGCCTGTCCATTGGTCAGAGGCAGGGCGGGGGGCTGGATGAGGTGAGAGGTTAGGTGGCCGTTGCCCATTACGCTGTGAGGGCTCCGGTGAACCACGTGGTTGGCCTGGGCAGCGAGGGCGGATGCTGCAATGGTGGGCAGAGCCGAGGGGTACAGAGGCTGGCTGGGCATGCTCAGGACCATCGAGGGCGGTTGCTGTGTCGACTGCGGCGTCAGCTGAAAGTGGGCGGTCATGAGCGGGTGTTGCGGGGGCACTGGTGTCTGGATGGATGCGGTTACTCCTATGATCGGCGACTGCGCGGTCACACTGTGGTTGAAGGACGGCGGCTGAGGGAGGGCGTAGGTGTGGGGCAGGAGGCTGGGCTGGCTCACCGCTGCTACTGGTGCAGCCCAGGACCCGGGACCTGAAGGACAAATAGAAAATAATCAATTAATTAACTTTTACACGGCAAGTGCAGTGCCCATTCTAAATATCTATTTCAGAGGTCTGTTGACTGAATGACAATCTTAGAATGGCCTGTTTTCTTATCCAGTATTAATGCTATGAATGCTCCTTTAGAACTATTACTTGTCCTTTTTTATTATTTGTGTGCTGGACGTTGTGTGCAGAAGTTTTTATAAACAGTCTAAGGTGCAGAGTAAAGTTAGAAAACTTTGTGTCCATCCTACCCGGTTTATCTGCTGTAAAGATTTTATATTAAATGTTTTTCATAAAATTGAACAGAATTTCCTTTATTATTGTTGAGTGTTAGGTAACTAACTGAAATTCTGTTATATTCTCATAAATCTTATGTCAGGTGTGTCAGAGGTCTGTTAAGCAAACTACACAATCTTCAGACCACAAAGTTCACAACTCAAAATAAAAGCTCTGTAATTTGATACAAAGCACTGCAGCAGAAAAAAACTAATGCTGTAATTAAATTGCTAAAGAGGAAGTGATTCTATCAATGTTGTTGCCATGACGGAAGTGAGTGACAGTGACACATGAATGTCTGTGAGTCCGGTCTGGTGAAATAAAAAGAATCAAACTATCAAAAAGATTTGGCGGGATAGATACTGTAAGACGACATGTTAAGCTTGGTCCACAGACTGACAGTTAGCATGATGGTAAGTAGGTTGGTAAAGCAATGACAAAGAGGAGGTCAATTTAATTCCCTAGTATTTTAGTAAACCAAAGAAAATGAATGCAGGGTTCTGATTCAAAATATGGAATCATTTGATTAAATAGAGGAAGAAAACAGACTCCAGCTTAACTGTCTTACTCCACACCACAACTGCTGCTCCGCTTTGGTCAAAGTTTGTTTATCACTCGTGACTTAATATCAAAAACAGAAAATATTTGAGGCAATGTGCAGATCTGCTCACAAGATCAACACTCTAATAAGATTGAAATATTTGTTTTTCCACTGGACGAACAAAAGCTTTTCCAAAAGTATACTTGCTCAGTGCATGTGGCAGTCTGCACTATTATCTGCGTTGGAGCCTGTGTTTACCCAGACACTCTGAGCCAATCATTTCCCTACCCTGAGGCGTTAGATGCTGAGGGTGTGCTGGGAAGACGTGGCCATATTGGACCTGAGCGCCCACTCCCTCCCTCCCTTCCTCTCTGATTTGCTCACTCCCCCATCTCCCTCTGCTCCTCCTGCCATAGTCCAAGCTCCAAAAATAACCTATCAGTCTGCCAACAGGCCAAAGGCTAAATCACAGCATGCAAAAAAACTAAGTAAGAAAAAAGAAATTAGCCCACGTTATTCATAATACTAACCAATACAATAGAGGGATGGAGAGGGAGAGAGCGATATAGAGCAACAGAAGAAAAGAAAGAAAGAGGAGAGGGTGGGATCGGGAGCCTCGAGAGGAGACGCCAATTAAGTTTTCTATTAACTTAACTATTCTATGTCATTGAGCTTATCAGCGCCAACACAGTATTTCACTTGCTCTCTTTGGTAGCTCATCTTGATAAAAAGTGTTATGATCAAGTGAGTTATAGTCAAATGATATAATATATTCATGTCACATAATCAGTCAAGGTTTTACTTCAGCGATGGTATTCAATAGAAATTAATACATACATATTCTATGTATCTTCCATTTCAATGTTCTTGTCCTCAATCTTTTAGCAGAAAAAAATAATTAGGGAAACTATTTCATTATGATGACATTGACCTAAATGTATAGGCATCTCCTGCAAAGTCAACAAAGCAAAGTACATGTGCATAACTGTTTTGATTGTCACTTGGATCTAAGAATTAACATGGTTTCTTAAAGTGGCAAGTGTGCTTAAAGTCTTCATTTTTTTCATGTATTTACTCAGTTGACTTTAGTCCAAAACATGGAATCAAACTATTTTCGTACAAGGAGACTTAAGTTCAAACAAAACTTCTCTTCCAAAGGCAAACTTTCTTCAACCGACACAACAGTGAAGTTTCCATTGAAAGAAATCGTTGATTAATTCTGGCACAGTTGGCAGAGAACTTCCTGGCAACACAGCTCAGTGAAGTGTGGAAAGGAGCTGGCTTCGTTGCAAACGCCAGTCACAGTTCGGAATAGCGCACACACGCAAATCAACATGCAACACTATGCTCGGATTTGAGTGTCATATGCGAGCGACAGCGTGCCGGGTCGGTGACATCTCACTCTGCTCGCACCTCAATCCAAGCTGAAGTGTGTGTGTGTGTGTGTGTGTGGTTGGGCTCACTTACACAATATAAGGTCTCCACAACGCCAAGGCCAATTCAGCCAGGCCCTCAATGCACAGCAGGGGGGCCGTGGCCAAACAGCAGGGGACTGTGGCCACACAGCAGGGGGGCGCACAACCACAGGAGGCAAAGACAGAGCGCCACGTTCCCACTATCACAACCACATCATTCCGTCATAAGAGCAACTCCAAAGGCTCCTCATGGCTATGTAAGATGTCGGAGTTATAATTAGGAGGCAAGCTGAAAAGGCAGTAGCTGAGTTGAAATGTGTTTTCAGAGTGATGCTTTGCCGCCACAGAGTAACAGCTGTCTGCAATCTGGATTCGTTGAGCCAGAATTTCCACTGGAACAAGCTTCGCGCCAGCGTTATTCTTGAATGAGACATTTGTGATGAGCAGGGGGCAGAGGCAGGGAAGGCAATGGAAGGAAAGTAACTGCTGGAGGGCAGACCCATTCTGGATGAGTTCATTACAATAAGAGTAAAAAACTTCAACATTGGCTTAACTCGTTAGTGTCGGGCTTTGTACATGTTTTAAAGTGGGATGAACAGAATAAGGCCGACATCTAAATTAGAATTGGTGGAGATCATTTGGAGGACTTTCAGAGTTTCAGTTCATAGGTTTACTTTAGACTAAATCAGCTTCAGTTAGTGACACAATAACATTAACAAGGACAATAAAACGACAGCAGAGTGGCAGTGGTGAGAGGGTGTAGGGCTGATGAGGGAACAACATAGATTTATATTTTTACTCTTTTTTAGACTTCTTATAATGTTTCTATAATTCTGTGCATAATTAGTCTGCTTTATGTAAAGATGGCGTTTGCGGACATGCATTCTGCATGATTGCATATGTAAAGTATGCATGTTGTGGAGGCAAGCATGTATTTTATCTAGGGCAAGGCAGCAAAGATGCCTCATTAGCATTGGATGCTAGCGTAGATGGCCAGAGCAGTCTCGGGTAAGTGTGTGTGTGTGTGTGTGTGTGTGTGTGTGTGTGTGTGTGTGTGTGTGTGTGTGTGTGTGTGTGAAAGTGAGTGCTCCACATACATGGATACATCTGCCATGTGCAGGCATACAGATGATGTAAAACTTATATCACCTTAAGCTCACATCATGTGGAACCAGTGGATGTGTGAAGGTGCCTGTCAGAACTTATGCATGCGTGTGTGTGTGTGTGTGTGTTGGCGTGCGTGTGTGAGAGATTCATTACCGGTGGGCTCGCTGTCTCGATGTTGCTTGGCAGGGGGCTCGTCGGTGTCCCACGGTGTGAGCTGGTTTATGGGCGTCTGTCCCCACCTCACCCCTGGAGCCAGCAGCAGTCCTGGGGTCTGGTTGTCTCCAGGTGACAGACCGGAGACCTGCACAGCAGCAAAACAACATCACTCAGAGAATCATATGCAAGAAAAAACAAAAACCTAGAGAAATATGCACCTTCTTTGTAAATGACTTTAAAATCAATGTCATCAACAACTATGGTTTATGCACAATAGTTAATTCATTAGTTTGAATGGAGAGAAAAAACGCAGCAAATCACGGCCCTCTGAATTGTTCTTTAAGGTATTGAAGTGAAAATGATGGAGCATGGCATATAATCAGCACTGAGTGAGTGAGTGCTGATTACAGCCTTTATATAATGAAAACCAGGGGGAGAAATCTTGTTTACAGCCTCAAGAGTCTTTGGAGAAAGAGCAATATTTCTCTTTTTAGAAAGTAATAACAATTGACTTTCTAGTGTGGAATCCATTTAAATTCAGAACCCCCCCCTCCCCCTGAGATTCTGTTTATCTTAATTTTGCAATGAAATAAACATTGTGTTCATTTAAGGGAGATGATAATTCTGATCACAATTGCAACAAATTGAGTAAAAAAAAAGACAGGGTTTTTTGCAGGGGTTTAAAAGAAAGGGTAATTTCTTGACAGTATATGAAAAGCTAAGGCTAGATGTCAGTGTCAATATATATATATTTTTTTTACAGAGGGGTAAATTCCTTTCAACTTTACCAAACCAAAATGAGAGTTCTCTAAGCCTTTCTTTGGAGCCATATCTCTAATATTTCTGCTCTGGTAGGGGAGTAAGAAATGTTATCGGGCAAGCCCAGGCTGATGAAAACACAGGGTTAATCACCACTGGACCCCTGAGCAATATTTGCTCTCCCTATCTGCAGCTTGGAAGCTGGGTCTAACAACCAGGCAGGAGCGAGGGCAGAGCCAAGCCTGATTCCCCCTGCTCACCCCAGCTGGCCCCCCGAGTTAATAGAAAAGACCTGGTCACCGGGCCCCTCCTGCGTCCTCCTGGCTGATCCCTGCATCCCTTCAATTCCATTATCCTCGCTGACCCGCCATCCACTTCATCAAGCACGCCATCATGCATTCCAACAGCAATGCCACCAGAGCCCAACAGACTGTCAGCTCACTGCATGACAACAAAACTGCAATCCAAACTATTCAAATCACAGTGAATTAATGTGCAGCTTTACATATTGGATCAAAGCCATTTCTGAAGAAACTAGAAATACAGCACTACAGTTTTCTGCCTACACTAACCAGTGTAGTTCTCTACATAACGTTTTTTTTAGATTTTATAACCAGTTAATCCAAGAGTCCAAGTAGTGTCGCAAATCTGAAAGAATTCTGTTGAGGTGTTCCAGAGAAATCGCATTCACAAGGCAAAACATTTGCTTTGTGGGGTCACAGTGAATTTGACCCTTGAACACCAAATTCTAATAAAGTAAAGGCAGTTTCTGCCAGATGTAATGAAATTACATTTACAACAGCATGAGCTCTTGTGACCTAGACGCCAAGTGAATGTTACCTGTACGTATCCCTAACCCACAAATCTGAAGACATTCCATCAAGCTGATCTTAAGATATCACCTTCAAGTAAAACAGACTCTGTGAGGCCACCGAAACATTTACGTTTATCCTTGAGTCCAAGTAAATGTTTATTCCAAATTTTAAGTAACACAGCATTCTTGAGATATCACATTCACAACATTGGGACAGGCAGAGATACGGACAGACGGATGTAAGTATGGATGCAAGACCCAAAAACATAATGCCTCCATCCACTGGCCATCACAGAGCCATTAAAAAAATTGCAGCCTGCTGATGGATTTCTCATGGCTGATGGATTTAGTGGCAGCTTTACGAGGCCTTAAACACATTGCATGGTATTAACAGAGCACAACATCTGCACTATTAAAAAAGAAATCACAATAGCAGATAAGTTCAACGAGTGTCCCTCGATAAATCCATGGTGAAAGTTGCCTGACAGTTTGTAAGTGCTGGAGGCAAAGGAAATATAAAAAACAAAAAGCAAAAGGAAACATCTCAAGGCAAAATAGAAAACAGCGTGATGGAGTGGGAGAATGACGCTGGGTTTAGGGGGGAGACAGGCTGTCAGTTCTTTTTGTCCAGCTCCAACCTGTCGACTTCAGACAAGAGAAAACTGAAATGGTTTACTCAGAGAATGCCCTAAGCGCTCAATTCCATCCCAGAGCCCTGGAGATTTAGGAGAGGGAAAATCCAGAGTGTTTTCAAGGTGAGGGGTTGCATTCTGTAGCTCACTATTTGTTTTAATGAGTGTTTTGCCTCCTCCGCTCCGTGCGCTTTACTGTATTCCTCTCCAGCCATGCTTCACCTTCCCTTCTACACAGGTAACTCCTCATTAACTCACTACATTGACTATATTGACTGTTCTACTCTCCTTTAGCCATGCACCTGCCTCATAATACATTCTCATTAATACTCCCACCCATTTACCCAAAACAGAGAGAAAAAACTGTCTCCTGCTGAAAGCCAATCCATCTGTCACAGTTTTTAGTGCAAGTGGGGGGGGGGGGGGGGGGGGGGGACAGAAGAGGGTTCTTAGTCAGCGCCATCACATTGACAGCATGTCTTCTCAGCTTAGAAACAATCCCAACTTGAACAGAAGTATGTGTGTGCACAGGTGAAAATACATGTGAGCACACACACACGCGCGTGAGCCAGGAGATATCAGACGGGATGTTTATTAAGATGGCAGACTTGCTGCAGGCAGGCAGCAAGGTACCGTAGGTTCTGGGACAGCGCCTGCCATTTTCCCTCAATTTTATTTGCGCTCCCTATTTCCAGTCCCCTCCTCCCCGGCCGCCCATTATCACCGGGCAGCAGATGGTTTCCTCTGACTCAACAAAAAAAACGCGCCGGAGAACAGGGACGGGAGCCAGATAGATAACTTGCGAGTCGTGCCAAGCCATTCTGTGTTTGTTGTCAAGCTGGCTGGGGAGGAGGGGTGGGGAGGGATAGGAGTGGTGGTACTGTACACAACATCCATGCATATGGACCACATACTGCAAGTGTGGAATGTGGCACTCGCACAGAGACACAATAACAAAGGTGCAAGCATGTTTGGATGCACCCACACATACCTAGACACACAAATCTGAAAATACCTGCATATAGAGTAGGCTTTGGTACAGAAGATTGGCACTGGTTCTAACATGGTCGGTCTCTAACAGACGATGCTGATTCAACATTAACATCACTGCATGTGCCTATAAGTAACATTGCACTTTTTAGTTAACATTGCAACACACTCTTTACAGGGGTCTGACAGCAGGTTAGCCTGCAGTTGCTAGTGGCTGCGTCAAACTGGAGTCGACACCACAACAAAATGCCTGAAGCTAAACGGTCGAAAGCGTGGCTGTATTTCACCTGAAAGGATTCTGACTCTGGGACCTGCAGTGAACGTTCCAAAAACAATTCCAACACGACAAACTAAATGAATCACTTGTCAATGGAGAGATACATCTGAAAGCAGAGGGATGCTCCACAAGTGTGACCCCATGTGGAGCACATGAGCCAGCAGCGAGGGCCCCAGCAGTGGCCAGACAACTGATGTGGAGTTTTTTCCGTATTAAGCCCTGAAACTGCTATTTAGAGTTAAATTATTAAAGTTGGGATTTTGTTAAGAGTTCCTCACTTATTTATATTTATATATTTAATTTAAGTATATTCAAATTGTTAATTGTTAACCTTACAACTTTGAATTTACATAGCAATGACAAAGCTATTCCTATAATTGACTGTCTTTTTTTTATTTTTTATTTTTTAAGAAAAATGTATTTAGGCACCGGAACATGGGGTTGTATGGATGGAGGAGTCTTATTTTGATAATTAATTAATGTGTCAAATCCTTTCTAATTAATTTGATCTACATTCATTGAAATACTTTATTGATTAAACAATCAATAAAGTATTTGATATTTTACAATGAAAAATAATTTAATTTAATTAATTCAATTGTTTATCAATCAATCAATTAATAAATCAACTAAAAATTTCTGAATAATTGGTTAATTTCAGAAATGATGTTTTCATCAAGTAACTGCTTTACAACAGGGTGAGACATTGCTATAAATATGTACAAGTGATGTTCTAAATTCAATATTTACTGTTTTTCAATAATGTGAAGTACTGTAAAAAAAAAAAAGAAAAAAAGAAGCAATCTCAGAATCTGAAGCAGCTATCTATCTGCTTCTCCTGCACAATCCTACATGCAGATACACACGAGCACACACACATATGCACACGCAGCAAAACCAGGAGCATCCTTCTCCCCTCTCAAACCTCTGGATGTTGCAGACATGTCAGAAACAGTGTATTGAAGAGAGGAAGATAAAATCAAGATGCATCAGGAACTAAATATAAACTCGTCCTGCTCTGTCTGGGGCGGCAGAGACAGCAGTCTGATCCCGGCTGGAGGATCAGCTATTTCTCTCGGACATGGTTAGCGTTGACAACTGTCACTATGCGAACTCTGCCTTCCTGCAATAGCCAGCAGCATTGTTGGGCCTGTATCAGAACCTCTTGCCACTGGCCACCCATCTGCTGAGGGTGCATACAGGAGGGGCCACGTGGTGATCCAGGGCTTCGGGTGCTTTGAGTCATCCACATCCACACAAACAGAAAACGTTTGCTTGTGTTTGCCTTCAAATTTTGTTCAAGCCAGTCCTTGTCTGCCTGCGTGAGGTATTGCACCAGTTCAATTCTATAATAACACAGGGAAGGACACCAGAGTCTCCAAAGGAAAACAGGCACCATGAACATTGTGCATAAGCTGCAGCTCTTTGCACTTATTGTGCCTGTGACATGGGCTGGTATAGCAAGAACCTGAACGTACATGGTCCCCTCCGGTTAAGAAGATGGCTTTCATTTTCCCCAGAGAAATTACTTTATTGCTCGACTCGGGGACGAACGTCAAGAAAGAGAAGAGGGAGAGAGATTAGTGTGTCTATAACACCCAGGTCCCATTGCGGTAAACAACGTTACACACACTGATCAAATCAACTAACCGCTATGAGATTTAATAACAGGT